CCTTTCCTCCAGATGCTGCCTGGCTTGCTGTGTCCTTCCAGCCTCCTATTTGTCCATCTTCGATGGGCCGACTTGTCCTGTCTTATAATCTAAGATTTGGGGCCCTTGTCACTGCCAATAGTTTGCCTGGACTAATGTTTGACATTGTCAGGCCTTATAACGATTATTAATTAGGTCACCCACCTCTTCCAAAGAAAAATGAAGCTTGTTGTCATCTTGGTTTTTAAAATGTCCTAAAATCTCCCTCAGAACTCAGTGTGGAACTGTGTTTAACACTCCATTAAAGCCCCTTAGGATACTATAAATATGCAGCATAAATGCCTGTTTGTATTTATTATCGCTAAACGTTTGAAGAAATATTGAAAATTTAACAAGTAATTATCAGTGTATGGTTATAATTGTTCTATTTAACCTTTGATTGCTTTTAGTTTCTAGTTCTCAAATGTACTTCAAATTTATCCACTGATCGAGTTAGTGAAAAGATATAATTTTTATGATTATATATGGTAGTTGAAAATTTCTTGTTTATCTTTCACTGAATTGTGGTTTTTGAAGATGAAGCCCAGATGTCTTGTCTCCATTGCTTACTCTGACCAAACTCTTACCATGTTGAAAGCATACTATTTATGGTTCCTTTTGGTTTTCTCTTAGTTGTTCGTGCATCACCTTCAATTTGCCTGCGTTATTGACCTTAATCACTAACATTGACAGGTGTCTCCGTCCATACCTGCAGTCTAAATCCTGTTTTAGTAGAGTACAATTTACTTAAACTCATATAGCCTTGGGGTCTAATATTTTGGGTGAAGAGGAATCTACTTTCACTAGAGTGAATTGTAAAGCCCTCATTTAAATTTGCAATTTGCAAAAGAAATACTTGGGAAAACCTGCTGGGATCAGTACATAAATATTTGACTAATATTTTGGTAGCAGATTTACAGGGGTCTCCAACTTGAGTGCCTGATTTATAAATGCTCATATTCATGAGTGAGATCCCATATTACTATCAATTTTAAGGATCCAACATATGAATGTTTGTTTACTTTGCTATGGATATTTTATACAGTACAGTATTACGTTCTATCTTGCATACCAATGGACTTGTGAACATACCTGAGTGGAAACTGTTTGTAACTTGGGGATCTCCTGTGTTTAGTTTGTATGGTTGTGGTCAGTGGTTTTTAAAGACTAATACAGAAAATGTCATATTATACCTTACCCTAATGTACTTTTGGTTTTGGACCTGTCATGTCTTCAGCATTGACCTTCATGTATACATATTAATTCCATGTTTGTTTCTAGCTGCAAGTCATTCAGTGCATCGACGTTGCTGAGCAAGCTTTGACTGCTCTGGAAATGTTATCACGGAGGCATAGTAAAGCCATTTTACAAGCTGTAAGTGCTACCATAGAAATCTCCGTTTGTGGATTAAGAAACATGTTTCTAATCCTTGAAAATTCATATATTACCCATCTCTTTTATCCCAAACTGCTGTAATGCAGGTCAGGATACAAACGTAAAGCAGCAGCTCTAACTGGTCACAATGTTTACAGCACAGGAGGAGGCCAGCCAGTCTGTTTTGTTTGTGTGCAGGGTCTCTGAAGTAACAATTCACTTAGTGCCATCCACTTTCTCTACAGACACTGTACATTCTTCCCTTTTCAGATAATCCAGTTCTCTCTCGAATGCCACGATATAGCCTGCCTCTGCTACGCTTTAAGGCAGTACATTCCAGATCCTAAATACTTGCTCTTTTTATGAAGAGCTTTCTTCATTTCATATTGCTGTTGCCCATTAACTCAAATTTATGGCCACTGGGTTTTAATTTTCCTACGATTCTTCTTTAATTCTTGTAACAGTTTCTTTCTTCTTTCTCTTCTGTGCCAACCCGTTTGTTTGTGAATACCTCAATTAAATTTCCTCTTGACCTTTTGTCTCCTGCATGAAAGAATCCAAAACTTTTTTCTCCAACCTCTTGACAGAGTCCTTCACAGACCTTGTTTTTTTTCTGTACCCTCAATGAAGCCTTTGCACCTTTCCTAATTTGCGTGAAATCACATCTTCCCCACCCCCGCCAACCAAAAAAGAAGCCTTCTAAAATTCTAATTCTGCAGTATCCTTTACACAGTATCCATCCAAAACAATGGCACACATATACATAGGACTCAATGTCACAATTGTGAGCAGGGCACACCAAGACATAAAGCATTTGTACCAAATAGTACGCCTACAAGTCTAGCTGACTCATAGCTGCGGTTTTTTATACCTGCAATGAGGATTGATTTGAAGAAGTTCCTAAGGGTAGCAGTACAAGTAGATATGGTTATAAAGAAAGCATATGGAATGCTTTCCTTCATTGGCAGAGGTATTCTTCAACTTAATGGCTGTCTGAGTTATGAGTTGTAGCCAGGACTTTCCTTTATCTACCCTCCTTTTTTGTATAAAACTTTTGGGTATTTTTGCTGCAGTGCCTTGTACGGCGTACTGAATAGTTAAAGGAAACTTCAATGAAGAGAGCAAAACTGCTGAGCCTTTTCTGGATCTCTTTGCACTAGAAGATAGCACAGGTGAATGTGTGCATGGAGAGCTTGTGGAGAACAGAAGGATTTAGTATTCTAGGCAATTGGGACCAATTCTTTTGAAGATGGGACCCCCCAACCCAAGCTTGATTGAGTTGTATTTCAACAGGGCTGAAACCAGTATTGTGGCACGGGCGTTTGCTAGTGTAGTGGAGATTTTAATGATATTTGGCAGGGAAATGGAGTCCTGAGCATGGATTCAAGAGGGCAAGAAGCAAAGCTAGAAATCGAAAGCAGAAAATTAGTGAGGAAGGCAAGGAAAATAAAGGCTGGAAAACAAACAGTAGAGGAATTTAGCACTGATTGCACCGATCAGTGCAATGAGTCCAATGAACGAGGCAGATAATCTGACGGTACAGATTTTGAAATATGTATGGATACACTGAATCTAGTTTTATCCACTGTTCTCTTCACTTCAAGAACTTTCATGTACTCTGCAAATTGTTTTCAATCTTAAATGATGTTCAAGAAAGAGGTTTGAATTTTATTTTGTATATTTGTGTAGAAAATTAACTTGTTAAAAATGATGGTGTGTAGTTTTAGGCTTTGCTTACAACTTCCCCTTTCTCCTCCAATATGATGCTAATAACATCTTTCCTTAACCTTTAAGGGAGGATTGGCTGACTGCTTGCTCTACCTGGAGTTCTTCAGCATCAATGCTCAGCGAAATGCCCTGGCAATAGCAGCAAATTGCTGCCAAAGTATTACTCCTGATGAATTTCATTTTGTCGCTGATTCATTGCCCTTGTTAACCCAGAGGCTGACCCATCAGGTACTGAAGGCAAATTTTCCTTCGATGACTGACCATATACATGTTAGTTCTGAATATTTTTCACAATTTACATTAAGTGCCAAAATGTATATGTCCAGAACATGGGTTATGGTGGAGTTCATAATAGCTATGTTTATTGTTTGGCTTTGACTGGTTGCTTCTGTGGTGAAGCTGCCACAGTTAATGTCACACCAGCATAACCCTGCTGGAGTACGTTAGATTAGGACCTTTATTGACTGTGTTTTAAGTTGTGCTGCCAGAAAATTAGAGCCACACTCTGCATTGATATTGTTTTCACTTCAGGAAGACTAGCTGAATGTGACAAGTTTAAAATAGGAAAGTAGCTCAGTTAAGCCTTTATCCCAAAATTTAGGTTACAGTGGATTTGTGTTTTTGTCTTGAAACAGCATGAGTTACAGGATTCTGATCACTGTACAGAAAATTTCATTGACTATTTGCTACACACTTCTGATTGGCCAACTTGGATTGAGTCTGCAAAATCTACTGTTGTTGTTTGTTTCATTTTCCTAAATGTCAGCTAAAACAAAATCAAAAATTCAGGTATTTTGAGTGTTTTCCTGTGATTTTTTCTACTGAATGAATGTTTAATGGGTACCTTGTTGTATTAGTCTTCAATTCCCAGCATTTCTAACCTGCAGTTCATGTTTTAAAATATCGAGCAGGGCCAAGATCTTCATTGTGGCCAGCCTTGACAAATCGGAATTGTGTATTCTGGTGGCTGCCAAGTGTGTGACTCGTCAAAAATCTTGGAGCCACTGAAACCATTTTTGATACCTATACTTTATTCACATTTGTGAATGCTGTTTATACCCATTTGATTTAATAGGAAACCTTTTAAGTCTTGGAAGTTCCTTTTTTTTTGTTTTTTGTCGATAATTATTCAACTTCCATTAGGTGGCAAAACAAACTAGTTGTGGAAGAGTGATTTTGATGGAGCTTGAATAAATTTTAGACACAGTGTACATTTAGACATTGAGTTATTGGACTTTTAATTAGCCTTTACTGGCTAATTCTAAAAACAGCAAATGTTGGAAAATCTTACCAGATCAAGCAGGTGGAGAGAAACATGCTTAATGTTTTAGATCGAGTAAAGTCACACTCAAACAAATATCCCAGAATCTTTAAATGACTACAGTATGTGTGTCTTTGATCCTTTCCCTTCCACTTCTGACTGCAGCAACTCTCAAAGCCAGAACTCTACTCTGCTGACCACATGATAAATTACTTTTTGATATTTATTTCTAGGGAAACCTGTAAATGATCTCCAAATGGCTGCCTTTCTCAGCAGCATGAAACACATGAGCCATGCATCTAGATGTAAATCCTGATCAGTTATTTTTGACAGTCCAACTCCAACATCTTGCCATTAATTGAACAGTTTAAAGCAGAGCTCATTACAACCTGTTTCTTGATGCTTTTCCTGGACTTGGAGATTCTCAATTGTTAATTTTAGCATACAGGCTACTACCATTGTTTTCAAGCATAAATACTTTGCTCATTTGTTCCAACAAAACTCCTTTAGTCGTCCTTCTAATCTTTAGAAATTAAACCATCCAAAGTTTCTATTGGGCAGCCTTCAGAATAGGTCATATGACCCATCTCACTTTGCTCTCAAACAGTGCCAGAACAGAATAGTCATGTAAACCCCATTGTTGCAATTCAATGAATGAAATATGAAAGCAAATCTACTGCATACCTGGTGACTTTACTTTCTCCTGCATTGTTACCATTCAAAAGAAATCAGGAAGGAGAATAGGCAGAAGAACATGAAATGTTTTGTCTGATTTTCTTTGAATTGAATTAGCTATTTCTCCAAGTTTGATTCTCTTTTTTTTCCCCTAAATGATGTGCATGAAAGAATTTTGATGTATTAATCATACTAAATCCTATTCAATAATTTTATGGTTGTAGCTGAAAATTATTAACTTGTGGCTTGGTTTTTTGTTTCTGGTTAGGACAAGAAATCGGTCGAAAGTACTTGTCTGTGTTTTGCTCGGCTGGTGGATAACTTCCAACATGAAGAAGTAAGACATTTTATGAGACATTTTACTGAGGACATTTCCAGCTTATTGGGCTTTGTGAAGTTGTCAAGTCGAAGTTTCTTCAGCTTCAGTTTGGGAAAATTGTGCAGAATTGTTGCGTGTGCTTGATTTGCAAAGCACTTTCGTGTTCACTTCTAAACTTAGTTTTGGCACCTGAACTCCATCTTACGTTATTCAATAGAATTGTGAAATACAAGCCTCACTGATTAACCTAATGTTTTGTTGTTCGAAAGAGCCTGGGTTGGATCATTTTTAATGATTAAGAGCACCTTTAATGAGACACAATTTGTCCATGCTTATCTAAAAGTCAGTTGAATTTTATTTTTAAACCCATTCTGTAATTTTTCTTAAGTAATCAATTAAGTGATCTTGACAACACTTCTGCCCACTCTGGAGATGTAGATGCTTCTTGCCATATCAGTATTTCTACCAATCCGTTCTCAGACTTGTGCAAATTTGAATAGATCAACCTGCCAGTGTCTGATATGGCAGAGTTGTCTCCGTTCAAGATCTAATGTTCGGGGAAACTGGTTTGGGAAATGTGTTTTACAGGGACTTTTGTACATTGTTTTAAATATCTTATAGCCCTGCCATCTGGAATGCATTTCTGTCCAGCCATCAGTTAGGTTTCATGATAATTATGATCCATATGATGGGAATTGAGGGAAAATTGATTACGACTTTTTAATGCTATTAAAAAGTAATGTCTTGAGAATTTTGGCTGTGCAACCGCAGAGGAATTTTGCCGAAGATCGGTGTTCTTTATTCCATCTTGCAATGGTATTTGTCATTAAAAGCAATGACCCTGGATTACCCTTATCCTACATTCTCTCTGACATTCCTACTCATTTTGCCCTTTGGGGGGGCTAGACTTACCAACTGTTTCTTCCAGCTCATTCTTGCCATTGCTAACCCTGTGGACCCAATTTGTCTCCCTTCAGAATGTCTGCTCAGATGTGAATTACATCCTTGACAGTTGTGTTTTCTGCGGATTATTGTGCCAATATTATGGTGTTAACAGAAATACAGCTGAGGTTGATGACACCATTTTTGTATTAGTGAAGCGTCCCCGCCTGGCTACATCTTCCAGCAGATACTCCGTCATGACCAGCCCAGTTGCAGTGTGCGCTTACCCCAGGATCACACTTTTTGGACTGACTACCCCACTCTTGCATTTTTTAATTCCTCTGAACAGCTCACCATGTTCTATCCCTCTCACCTTTTAAAATCATTTCTCTAACAGCCTCACGTGCAATCAGATTTTTTTAACTGGTATCTTTACTGTTTTCCTCCCTCAGATTATAGTGAAATGCAAGGATTAACCCTCGGTTTGTTTTATTTATTGTGAACCCCATCTCCCATTCTTCCAGCATTGAGTGGGTTAAGAGTTTTTTCTTAGGGAAGGGCATGCTGACAACAGACTTTAATGAGACTTGTGAAAGATGCAAGTTGAGTGCTACTGAGGGGAGCTCATTATTTTTTATTACAAGATTGAGATGGTCTGATAAGCTGTCTCTGCTGCTTCCCTCCTTTCCACAATCTCTCTTCTCTGACTTCTGGATGAGCAGAAATTTTCTCCAGTTAAATAAAGGGAAGATTGAAATTGTAGATTTTATCCTTTGTCCAGACTTCGTTTGCTAGCTGTAGTCTCTGTCCCTCTCCCCATCAGTGGTCTGAAATTTAGCCACTGTTTTCAACTTTGCTCACACCTTACCTTAAGATGAGCTTCTGACCTCCTCATTTGCACCATCCATGAGATCCCTTAATTCCACCTCCTAATGTTGCCCAATTTTGACCCTGTCTCAGCTCAACTACTGAAATCCTCATTCATGGCTTCGTTATCTTTGGATTTGACTATTCCATGTGATCCTAGTTAGTCTCCCATATTCTACCTTTGGTAAACTTGTGCTTTAAAGTTGTGCCTGTGTTTTAACTTGTAGACGATCCTGTTCATCTATCACCCCTGCCATAGAGGTGCATGATCCAAATTACTGGTGTGGCAGTATTGCAAATAAATATCAAACTGAACTGGTTTCCTCTAAATTAGAACATTTTTTTATTCATTCACAGGATATTGGTGTCATTGGCAAGGCCAGCATTTGTTATCCATTCTTAATTGCCTTTGAGAAGGTGGTGATGAGCCACCTTCAGTACAACTGAGTGACTTTCTAGGCCATTTCAGAGAGTAGTTAAGAGTCAATCACATAGCTGTGGGTCTGGAGTCACATACAGACCAGATCGGGTAAGGATGGCTGATTTCCTTCCCTAAAAGACATTAGTGATCTTTGGGTTTTTTTTAAAAATAGCAATATAGTACTTTCATGATCATTGCAGACACCAGCTTTTGTTTCATTACCTGAGTTTAAACTCCCCAGCTACTGTAGCAGAATTTGAACTTGTCTCTCCAAATCATTAGTCTGGTCCTCTGGGCTTGTTATCCAACAAGAGACATTAATTTTTACTGGACCTGTGAAGTCTGCAGAATTTACATATTGCTGCCTGACTTTTGTATTCTATACAATTATTACAAAACTTTAGAATTCCATTTTGTTTCACTTTGCATCATATGAATCTGCATCCCAGATTTCTCTGCTTTTGTCACAGCAAGCCTGTTTCTGTTTAAAGGAAAATTACTGCCTGACAATTTGATCAGAAATTATCAATTTAAATTTATTTTAATTGAATTTCATCTCTCATTTTTAACCTGTTTTCTAATTTTCTCAATATGCCTCTAACTTCCTTCTAATCTCAATTCTGTTTTGATTTTGTCAGGAAATCTTGACACCACTTCCTTTTGGTCCATGTAGAAATCAGTATACAGCAAATTGTAGTTGGTCCAGAAGTGAACTGTTTGCCCCATCACGATCTATCTTGCAACCATCTCAAAAAAAAAAATTGCCCTTGACTCCTATCCTTTGATATGTTCATAAATTAATCATACGACAGTAGTTAATCAGATACATTGAACTGTCTTACTTTGAGTGATATATTTTTTGATATTTTGATAAAGGTGTTAGAATGTTTAGTTTTATTGTGCATATTTGTCTGTGCATCGTGCACAAGTGATAAATAACAGCCACGTTCATCAGTGATTCACTTCAACCCAATTGATTGTTAAACAAGATCTGAAGTGACAAACCAATATTTCAGAGATAAAAACAGAAATTGCTGGCACAACGCAGCAGGTCTGGCAGCATCAGTGCTAAGAAAGCAGACTTATCATTGAGTCCAGTGACTCTTCATTAGAAAAGCCCTAATGAAGAGACACTGACTCAAAACATAATGCTGCTTTCCCCCCTCGCAGATGTTGCCAGACCTGCTGAGTTTCGCCAGCAAATTCTGTTACTGTTTTAAATTTACAGCATTTCAGAGATTTGGCTTTTTTCAATAATTTCATAATAAATAAATTGACCTTGGACTGTGAGTGGCAATTATACAATTGCAACTGATTTATTCAAGAACTGAGCCAAATAGATCTAATGTAGTTAAGGTCAGAAATCATACGACACCAGGTTATAGTCTGACAGCTTTATTTGAAATCACAAGCTTTTGGAGTGCTGCCCCTCTGTTAGATCACAAATAAACCTGTTGGACTATAACCTGGTGTAGACTTCTTACCTTGTCCACCCCAGTCCAACACTGACACCTCCACATAATGTAGCCGTGTCACAGATTGTTTAGGAAACGTTACTCACTGCAGCTCCTTCCAAGTTATTACTTGTTCTTTTTTTAGATTGTAACTTAATCTAACTTGTATGCTTATTCATGGGTCATGGATGTCTCTGTGAAGGTGAGCACCTTATTGAACACTGCTGAGTGGGTTGTTTGGGCGTGTCAGAGGACGTTTGAGATTTTTCTTATCCTATCACTGGCTGGGCCAGGTAAAGATGGCAGTTTCCTTCCCGATAGGACATTAATAAACCAGATCGGTTTTTCTGACAATTGACAATGGTTTCATAGAATCGTAGAATCCCTACAGTGTGGAAACAGGCCCTTTGGCCCAACAAGTCCACACTGAACCTCAGAGCATCCCACCCAGATCCATCCCCATATAACCCACCTAATCTACACATCCCTGAATACTACAAGCAATTTAGCATGGCCAATCCACCTAACCTGCACATCTTTGGACTGTGGGAGGAAACCCACGTGCAGACAGGGGGGAATGTGCAAACTCCACACGGACAGTCGCCCGAGGGTGGAATCGAACCCGGGTCCCTGGCGCTGTGAGGCAGCAGTGCTAACCACCGTGCCGCCCCACATGCTCATCTTTCGATTTATTCTTTTTATTATTAAATTCAAATTTCACCATCTGCCATGGCAGGATTCAAACCCAGCTTCCCAGAATCTTACCCGAGTCTCTGGATTAACAGTCCAGTGATAATATTGTGAGGCTGTCGCCTCGTTGCTGTGGATCATTGTATGTAGGCCAGGCTGGGTATGAATGTCAGATGCCCTTTCCACAGGGCATTGCTGAACCAGATGAGCTGTAATAACAGTTGTGTAGTTCGGGCACCATTCCTGATTGTACTCCAGAATTTACTTAATTGCTTTTATTTAATTGTTCATTGAATTAGTTGAATTTACTATCTCCAACTTCTGTTTTGGATTTGAACTCCTGTCTCATATCATTAGTCCAGGCCTCTGTGTTACCTAATTCCTCTAATCTTTCATCAGAACGTGATTCTTGAAAATACGTGAAGAACATCTGGACCTTGAATCCAGTGTTTGGATATTTCCAGATTTAAAAATTTACTTACAGATTTTCATAGTTTTATCTCCTAGGTAGGCAAGAAATAAATTGGAAACTGTAGAGACTTGAAGAGAAGGAAAGATAGTGTGTTCATAAATCAATTTATAAAGTTTACTTGAGCTGCATTTTGTAGAAAGTTTATTTCTATTTATTATGAACATTGAAAGATGAAAATATGGAAAATGCAAATTGCTAATAGCTAAAGTGCTTCCACTTGTACATTATGCAAGTTGGTATCCTCCCATGGGCGGGAGTGCTATGATACTAGGTCGTAAAAGTGTTTGGTCATCATATGTTTGTGTGCTGCAGATCAGTTTTGTGCGAAACTTAATCTTTATTTTTATTAATAGAACTTGTTGCAGCAGGTGGCATCCCGTGATTTGTTGACTAACATACAGCAACTTCTGGTGGTGACTCCCCCAATTCTCAGCTCTGGTATGTTTATCATGGTGGTCCGGATGTTCTCACTGATGTGTTCGAACTGTCCTACTCTGGCTGTGCAGCTTATGAAGCAAAGTGAGTATTTTGCAGATCTAGTTGGAGTTAATCATCATTTAATTTGTCTGTTTCGAAAACACAACAGATTGTGGTCAATGTCTTGAGTTTAGCGGAGTTGAGAGCAATTTGCTGTATTACGATAAATCAATTGACAATGTTGGTAGAATGTCTTTAGTTGTACAATTTATTTTCTCAACGTTTTACTGCAAAACCACTCAGTCGTTATCTTAAACTGGTGATGGTAATTCTTCAAACTATCATTTGGGTACTCTCATTTTATAAATAATTGCTTGGTAGCACAGAACTTAAACATTTGATAAGAAAAGACAAATTGAAGCTTTTCATTTTGCATTCATCACAACTGATGCAAGAACCCCAACTTAATAAGGGAACAGCAATTCATATAGCCTCAGAAGAGGGTGCTGATTGGTTGCAACACGGTGGGCATGAAGGTGCGACTGGAACTGTTTATCAGTCTTAGCTGAAAAAAACCCAACCAGGGAGCTAGACTCTGTCCAGAACATGGCCACAGAGAACGCAACAAGAATTATCAGTCTTCATGATCCTTCTCAATTTAGAAAAAAGGTTGCTATGTATAGGCAAATTATTTGCAAAGAACAGGGTTCTGTGCATTAAAAATGTAGCTTCTAGCACATGCAAGTCAATTGAACTGTGAGCTTAACTGGTAATCTTAAATTAGTTTTCAGTGCAATTCTTAGCAGTCAGGATGAGTAAGTAAATGTTGTCTGGGAGCAAAATGACTTCAAATGTTGAACACAGGTATTTTTAGGATGTGTAAACACAGGCTATTACTAGGTAATAGTTTGATTTCTTAATGAGGCTTGATGTTAAAAGCCCTGATCTCAGACCTGTGCACTTGTGGTTAGTTGATTCAACCCAGAGCAGAAGAAATCCTGTGGTAGATAGTGTTCCAAGAGGTATAGATCCAGGTAATATCTGGTTGTAATTTCTTTCTTCTTTTATAGATATTGCGGAAACTCTTCGTTTTTTACTTTGCGGAGCCTCAAGTGGGGGCTGCCAAGAACAAATCGATCTTGTACCAAGAAGTCCGCAAGAACTTTATGAGCTTACTTCCCTGATTTGGTGAGTTATTTTGCATAATTTGTTGAAATGTTCTGATTTTGATCTGTGCACCTGTCAACGTCAGTATACTCCTTTTGTTGTCTTAACAATGGGTTGAAGAATTTTCTGCAGCTTAACACTCATTCCACTGAGTAGCATTAACGTAAAATTCAAAGAAAAAAATGGGATAAATGTGACCTCTCCCAAAAGGGTGAATACTCTTTTTTTGCCCTGTAATTCTGGCAAAAAATTATAAGCTTTAGGCTCAAATGTCTGCAGCACAGAAGAAGGCCACTTACCCCATCATGTCTGCACTGATTAACAAAGCTCAGACGACACTAATTCTGTTTTCTAACTCTTGGCCCATGTCCCTGGAAGGATATGACAGTTGTGATGGAACTGTGCCTTTTGAGAGATGTATTCTGTGCTGTTTCTCTTTGAGAGGTGTTGTCACAGTGGTGATGACATGTCTGCTTCAGAAACAATTGGTAAATCACTTTCAGCTCCCTAAGTGCTTTGTTAAGACCAAATAAGCATGAGGGGTTGGAGTCAGGCTCACACGGACCCAGGGTTTTGGTTTTGCTTTCAGCAGGGGTTTGAAGCTGGCTGTTGAAGCTCATAGATACAGCTCTTTCTCTGCTGCAGCAAGAATAACAGGATATGATTCAAATGGAGAAAGAGATCTGCACTGCTGTCTGACCCAGCAGTGAATATGCACAGCTACTACCTTTGCTGTTTAATTTCAAGTATCTCTAGACCTTGGAGTTCATTCTAAGAAAAATAAACAAACCGCAAAATCCACAGCTGACCTTGCAGGAAAGCCTGTGTAGGGGAGCTCACAGCAGGAGAGCAGTTAAGTGGTTAGTTTGAAAGTGTAACCTTGTTTTTGTAAATCATCAATAGTTAGTAGAGTGGGTTCTTTTATTTTTTTTGAGATCTGTCTTATGATTAAACTTTGAAAATATAAAAACATAGGTACTAAGTTAGCCTGGAGCAGTGTTTTTAGAGCAGTAAGACTGTGCTATTTTTTGAGTCTGTAGATAGTTAAGATGTAAAGGTGGCCTTTAGTAGAGTGATATGCTCTTGTTGGATGTAGGAGATTAGGGAGTGTTTCCACGTTACTGATGATTTATGTCTGCAGGAAGTATGTTTGGTTGCAAATCCTATCGGATTGTTTGGAGCAGCAGTTAGCGGCAATGAGGAATTTACAGGAGCTAGGGGGTGTGATGGATGGTAGTTGCAGGGAGGGAGATGAACCGAAGATACGGTCAAGTAGGTGGATGATCTGCAGGAAAGGTAGAGCAAGGCAGGTAGTGCAGGAGTCTCCTGTGGCTATCCCCATCACAAACAAGTGTGCTGTTTTGGAAAATGTAGGGGCTAATGTACTCTCGGGGAACGTAGCACTCACAGCCAAGTTTCTGGTACTGATGACCGGCTCTAATATAACGAGGGGTCCATCAGGTTCCAAGCGACTGCTTGTGATAGGAGACTCACTAGTCAGAAGCACAGACTGACATTTCTGCAGCCAATTGTGAGACATCAGAATGATATGTTGCCTCTCTGGTGCCAGGATCAAGGATATCTCAAAGGGGAGAGGGACCAGCAGGAAGTCATTTCATTAGGTCCAATGTGTACATAGGAAAAGAAAAGGATGAGATTCTGAGGAGAGAATATAAGATAGGCAAGAATTTAGAAAGGAGGTCCTTGAGCATAGTAATATCTGGATTACTCCCAGTGCCACAAGCTAGTGAGGGTAGAAATAGTAGGATAGAGCCGATTAGTGCTTGGCCAAGGAGCTGATGCAGGGGAGAAGGATTCACACTTTTGGATCATCAGAATCTCTTGTGGGATAGATGTGATCTGTATAAGAAGGACGGATTGCATCTGAATTGGAAGGGGACTGATATACTGGTGGGAGGATTTAAAGTAGTGTTGGTGTGGGTGGGGATGGGTTGGGGGGGAGTGGTTTGGTTGGCTGGTGGGACCCAGGGAAATAATGAGGAAAGAGATCGATCTGAGACTGGTATAGTTGGGAAAAATGAATCAGTCAGATAGTCAAGAACAAAGCAGAGAATGAGGTAGGAGTGATCAGCTAAAGTGCATTTATTTCAATGCAAGAGGCCTAATAGGTAAGGCAGATGAACTTAGGGCATGGTTGGCAACATGGGACTGGGACATCACAGCAATTACAGAGATGTAGCTCAGGGATGGACAGGACTGGCAGCTTAATGTTCCAAGGTGTAGATCCTATAGGAAGGATACAAAGGGGGCAAGAAAGGAGGGGGAGTGGTGTTTTTGTTTACGGATAACATTACGGATATACTTGGGAGGATCATTCCTGGGATACGTACAGGGAAGTTATTTGGGTGGAACTGAAGAAAGTGATGATCACCTTACTGGGATTGTACTACAGGCCCCAACAGTCAGCAGGAAATTGAGAAACAAATTTGTAAGGAGATCTAAATAAAAACCAAAAGAACTGCAGATGCTGTAAATCAGGAACAAAAACAAAGTTGCTGGAAAAGCTCAGCATGTCTAGCAACATCTGTGGAGGAGAAAACAGAGTTAACGTTTCGGGTCTGGTTCTGAGGAACGGTCACCAGACCCGAAACGTTAACTCTGTTTTCTCCTCCACATATGCTGCCAGACCTGCTGAGCTTCTCCAGCCACTTTGTTTTTGTTGTTGTAAGGAGATCTGTTATCTGTAAGAATCATAGGGTGGTAACGGTAGGGGATTTTAACTTTCCAGACATAGACTGGGGCTGCCATAGTGTTAAGGGTTTGGATGGATAGGAATTTTCTTATTCGATATGTGAATATTCTTATGAGAGAAGGTGCAAAACTTGACCTACTGTTGGGAAGTAAGGTAGGGCAAGTAACTGAGGTGTCAGTGGGGAAGCACTTTGGGGCCAGTGACCATAATTCTATTAGTTTTTAAAATAGAGATGGAAAAGGATAGACTGGATCTAAAAGTTGAAGTTCTAAATTGGAGGAGGGCCAATTTTGAAGGTATTAGGCAAGAACTTTCATATTTTTAGAATGAAAACAAAAGCTGCTGGAAGAGCTCAGCAGGTCTGGTGGCATCAGTGAAGAAGAAAAAAAAATCACTGTTAGCGTTTCTTGTCCAGTGATGATGATTTCGGAACAGAAGGAAGGGTCACTGGACCCAAAGAGTTAACTCTGAATTTTTTTTCTAGAGAGATTGAGGTTTTGGTCAAGAAAAAGGAGAAAGCATGTGTCAGGTATAGACAGAAGACATCGAGTGAATCCCTAGAAGAGTGTAAAGGCAAGTAGGCGTATACTTAGGAGGGAAATCAGGAGGGCAAAAAGGTGACATGAGAAAGCTTTGGCAAATAGGGTTAAGGAGAATCCAAAGCGATTCTACAAATACATTAAGGACAAAGGGAGAGAATAGGGCTCCTTAAAAATCAGCAAGGCCACACCTGTGTGTGGAACAGCCGGAGATGTGGGAGATACTAAACCAGTATGTTGCATCAGAGTTTACAGTAGAGAAGGAAATGGAAGATAGAGAACATAGAGAAATAAATAGTGACATCTTGAAAAATGTCCATATTACCGAGGAGGTGCTGCTGAACGTCTTAAGATTCATAAAGGTGGATAAATCTCCGGGACCTGATCAGGTGTACCCTAGAACTCTGGGAAGCGAGGGAAGTGATTGCTGGGCCTCTAGCTGAGATATTTGTATCATCGATAGCCACAGGTGAGGTGCCAGAAGATTGGAGGATGGCTAATGTGGTACCACTATTTAAGAAGGGTGGTAAGGAAACGCCAGGGAACTATAGACCAGTGACCCTGACATCGATGGTGGGCAAGTTGTTGGAGGCAATCTGAGGGACAGGATTTACATGTATTTGGGAAGGCAAGGACTGATTAGGGACAGTCAGCATGTCATTGTGCATGGGAAATCGTGTCTTACTAACTTGATTCAGTTTTTTAAATTAACAAAGAGGATTGCTGAGGGCAGAGTGGTGGATGTGATCTATATAGACTTCAGTAAGGCATTTGACAAGTTCCTCATTGTAGACTGGTTAGCAAGGTTAGATCACACCGAATACAGGAAGAACTGGCTCGAAGGTAGAAGACAGAAGGTTGAGGTGGAGAGTTGCTTTTCAGACTGGAGACCTGTGACCACTGGTGTACCACAAGGATCAGTGCTGGGCTCACTGCTTTTTCGTCACTTGTACAAATGATTTGGATATGAACCTAGGAGGTTTTAAAATACTTTAAAAGGGATCTAAGAGGCAAATGCGTCATGTGGATGGTGATCCATGTATGGAATGAGCTGCCAGAGAAAGTGGTGGAGGTTGGTACAATTACAAGATTTAATCGGCATCTGGATGGGTATATGAATAGGAAGGGTTTATAGGGATATGGGCCAAATACTGGCAAATGGGGCTAGGTTTATTTAGGATATCTGGTTGGCATGGACGAGTTGGACTGAAGGGTCTGTTTCTGTGCTGTATATTTCTATGATTACAAGCAGGAGTTCTCTCTCTGCTGCTGGATCATCTTTGTGTTCCTGTCTCCTGGACTGGAGAGGAAATCAGGTGAGGAAAATCTGTTTTGCTGAATTTGCTTTCGCCAAGGGTGTGTTTATGGGATTATCCGTATTGGAACAATTGGTGATTAGTGGTTAAATAATTAAAAGTATTTCAATAGTTAAAGTTTTATGTTTTTATTTTAACTGTGTTGTAAGAATAAAGTGTGGTTTGCTTAAACACAGTGGACTGCTGAAATCACATCTGGACCACTGCCTTGCACTTGTCTTGAAACAAAATATAAGCTTAGAGGCTAAGCTATCTCCTTGATATGTTTTGAGAGGTTTTGGTTTGGTCCATAACACAATACAAGTGAATATTTTAAATACTGCTCAAATGTTACGGGAGTTTCTGACTTGACCGCTGTTTCAGGTAGTGGTTTCCAGTCTCTCGGCACCCTCTGGGTGAAAGAAGTTCTCCTTTGCTCCCCTCTTACCCTTGTACCACCAACCCCAAATCTCTTCCCCATAGTTAACGACTCTAATGGAAAAAATACCTTTTGTATGAACTTTTGCTGTGCCCCTCAATCTTGTATACCTCTATCAGGTCTCTTTTTGACATTTACTGCTCCAAGGAAAACAGCCTCAGTCTATCCAATCTTTCATTGTGGCTCAGGTTCTCAAGTCCAGGCAGCATCCTGGTAAATCCCCTCTGTGCACTTTCCTGTGCAGTGATGTCTTTCCAATCATGTGGTGACCAGAGATGCGCACACAGCACTCATGGCCTAATCAGTGTTTTATGCAGTTCCAGATAACACTTCTGCTCATGCTGCCTTTAATAAAGGCAAGTATCCGATTAATCACATTATCTACCAGCCCTGCACCACAAGGTCCTTCTGACTTTCGGTATTTTCAGGATTCTACCATTCTACCTTGCCTTGTTAGCCCTCCTCAAGTGCATTACCTTAGTTTTTTCCAGGTTGAATTCCATTTGCCACTGCTGTGCCCACCTGACCAGTCCCCTGTCTATAATCTTGAATAACAATTCTGAATAATAATTCTTTATTTGGCAGGAAAATTTGGAATTCACAATTGGCCTCCTTTTCTGATTAATCAGGTTTTATCTGTTGCAGTCAGAGATAGTAGGAACTGCAGATGCTGGAGAATCTGAGACAACAAGGTGCAGGGCTGGATGAACACAGCAGGCCGAGCAGAGAGGCTGACGTTTCGGGCCTAGACCCTTCATCAGAAAAGGGGGAGGGGAAGAGGGTTCCGAAATAAATAGGGAGAGAGTGGGAGGCGGATAGAAGAGGGATAGAGGAGAGGATAGGTGGAGAGGAAACAAACAGGTTGAAGAGGCGGGGATGGAGCCAGTAAAGGTGAGTGTAGGTGGGGAGTTAGGAAGGGGATAGGTCAGTCCAGGGAGGACGGACAGGTCAAGGGGGCGGGATGAGGTTGGTCGGTAGGAGATGGAGGTGCGGCTTGAGGTGGGAGGAAGAACAGGTTAGGGAGGCGGGGATGAGCTGGACTGGTTTTGGGATGCGGTAGGGGGAGGGGAGATTTTGAAGCTTGTGAAGTCCACACTGATACCATTGGGCTGCAGGGTTCCCAAGCGGAATATGAGTTGCTGTTCCTGCAACCTTCGGGTGGCATCGTTGTGGCACTGCAGGAGGCCCAGGATGGACATGTCATCTGAGGAATGGGAGGGGAAGTTGAAATGGTTCGTGACTGGGAGAGTGAGTTTGTGATTTTCCTTGTCTTAAGTTGGCTATAGAATGCAATGATTCCAGTACCTGGTGTTAATAATTAAAATGATCATACACCATGGTAAAATCTGCTTCATGTTTTTCTTTTGCAGTGAATTAATGCCATGTCTACCCAAAGAAGGAATTTTTGCTGTTGATACCATGTTAAAGAAGGGAAGTGCTCAAAATACAGATGGTGCAATATGGCAGTGGCGTGATGACCGGGGTCTCTGGCATCCGTACAACCGAATCGATAGTCGCATAATCGAGGTATAATATCTTAGACTATGAAAGATTTATGTAGAGGGTGGGCTAAGCATGGGAAATGAGCTCCATTTTTGTCTTAACTTCATAGCAAGTGAACTTGATTATTACTGGACTAGTAAATCTAAGGTATTTCTTCAGATGCTACACAAAATAAGTGAGGCAGTTAGCACTCTCGATTTTAAGGGCAACTTGAACAACCTGTCTGAAAGTTAATGAGTGTACAGTCTCATTCCTTTACATTATTTTTACAAATCTCTAATAAATATTAAGAAATATTAATTATGTCCCAAATCTTACGCCTCATTAGCAAGAACTTTTTACATGAATTTGTGCTGACGCATGAAAGCTAACAGTCTCTGAATTGTAAATGACTTTTGCGATCTGCAATAGTACTGTGTTCTGCCATGTACCACTTAGATCTGTTAAAGTTTCATAATTTAGTTTATCATGGTGCACATCCACTCTTGCTGCCTGTTACTATGTACAATCAAATCAGACTTCAAAAGCTCAGCATATCTTTATATGTGCAGACATGTACTTGATATGTTGTGAGTAGATTTTTGTGCTTACGAGCCAGTGTTCCAAGCTTGGAACTAGTGTCCTGCATATGCTGGTAAATATTAACCAAAAGTGCCCTGGACACACTGGCAAGCAGTCTAATCTTAGGTCTGCAGTAATCTTTTTGTATGCTTTGACGGTCTGTTCACATTGTTCACAGGCAGCCCATCAAGTGGGTGAGGATGAAATAAGCTTGTCAACATTGGGTCGAGTTTATACTATTGACTTTAACTCTATGCAGCAGATCAATGAGGACACTGGAACAGCCCGTGCTATTCAGAGAAAACCCAATCCATTGGCCAACACGAACAATGGTGAGTACTGCCTTCTGAATTAATCCTAAATTTTAAACTTTAAGAGGTGAGCTCAGAAAATCTTGTGTATTCTTATTGATTTTTTTTTTTTTGGTCAGCCTGAAACCTGGAGAGTAGCCAAATTTGCTTTTGTAGACGCATATTTTTTCCTGAAGAAAGAAAAAATTGGATTTCTGCAGTGCCATCATGGCATTAACATTACAAAGAACTTCAAAATTGCTCCATTAGATGTACTGTTGTTAGTGCTGTAATAGAGAAGAAACCCGACAGCCAATTTTGTACACGGCACTGTGGTTGCAGGTCATCTGGTCATCCATTTAATTGAGGAATATACATTGGCTTAAGTTATACCATTGTCCAAGAGTGCTGTGGGATTTTCTTTTGGTTCAACTGTAAGCAGATTGTTTTCACGTCTTGTCCAAAAGAAGCTGAGTGTATTGCATTGGACTGTTGGCCTAGATTTTGTTCAAATCTGTACAATACGTTTTGAATTCATAACCACTGACTCTGAATGAGACTGCCCACACTGAGCCATGGTGGATGACTATAACTGATGGTATATTTTTATTCACTTGGTTTACTTGCTCTAACATTTTATGAGCTTGTTGCAGGCTTATAGTTTCAGAGTTATAGTTTTCTGGCTAATTGAGAAAAATTCATCTCTTGTCCAAGGTTTTCAGGAAAGAGTGGTAATACGAACACTACGTATTAGTGGCTTGTTACTTGGACCGTGTCAATTCCATATAGCAATGTGCCATTAAAAAACTTTGTTTTGTTGCATGGTCATTGCACTCTTTTTTTTGTTGTGTTCTTCAAATTTTGCATTTGATGTCCTTGTGTTGCCCTTTTTAGTGACTTCTTTGGTTGTTGTGGAAAAATTCCAGCATCATTGCCAAGCATTCAGCTGATTTTTAGCTATACGTAATTAACTGAGAATGTCGGATCTATTCATATCTACCTATTTTATGATGTGTGTTTATTTCAGAACAATGCCTGGATTTAAACTGCTTTTTATGGTTGCCTTAAAGCCAAGAGATTTTACTGGGACTAGCAAGAAACTCAGTTTTCATACTGTCTGAACTCAGTAATCTATTTAAACCAATTGCAAGATAGAATTTGTGACAAAAACTACACTTTCCTGATCAAAGCCGATTTCCTCAGGAAAATGCAATGATAATCATGGTGGATAATGATATAGTACAAATTGCACCTGTAAAATCCATCTGTCATTTACAGCAGCAAGATCTCAGGACCTGATTGAGGAATGCCTCCATCTCCGTGGTGTCTGGGATTTGTGCTGTCATACGCAGCAAAAGATCTCAACTCTATGTTTGTGCCTTTAAAAAATGGTTAATTCACATATAGTTGATTTTCGGTAGCATAGCTCCGAATATTTCTTGGCCAGAGTATACAAAAAGAGCCGATGGCTTGTATAATCAGTTCATTCCATACGTGGATAAATACCTGGAATAACGACTAACTGCTGTTGAGAAAAATGCTTAGCATAGCTTGATTGAAACATATCAAAGCAACTTGACACAATTTTGCAAACAGCTAAAAGTGGTATTAAGAAGGAAGAGACTAACACAACTTCTGTCTATCGCAGTTATGATAACTTCTCCAATCAAACAGAAGTAACGGAGATAACAAGGTGTAGAGCTGGATGAACGCAGCAGGCCAAGCAGCATCAGAGGAGCAGGAAAGCTGACGTTTTGGGCCTAGACCCTT